GACCCTTTGGTCTTTTCGGTCGAGGGTTGAGGGTCGACCCTTAAGGCCGGTCGACCTTTGGGTCTTTTCGATCGACGGTTGAGGGTCGACCCCTAAGGCCGGTCGACCCTTGGGTCTATTCGGTATTTATCGCATAAGACCGAATTGATAATAATATCCCTATCAACCAAGGATCTAAGTGTTCGTCCTTTCGGGCCAAGGGTTCATGTGTTTTACCCTCCGAGCCATGGGTCTATGTGTTATACCCTTCGAGCCATGGGTCTATGTGTTCTACCCTCCGGGTCATGGGTCCATGTGTTATACACTCCGGGCCATGGGTATATCTGTTCTACCCTCTGGGCCATGGGTCTATGTGTTCGACCCTTCGGGCCAAAGGTCTATGTGTTCTACCCTCCGGGCCAAGGGTCTATGTGTTCTATCCTCGGGGCCAAGGGTCTATGTGTTCGACCCTCCGGGCCAAGGATCTATGTGTTCTACCCTCTCGGCCAAGGGTCTATGTGTTCTACCCTTCGGGCCAAGGGTCTTTCTGTTCTGCCCTCTGGGCCAAGTGTAACGCCCCACTTTTATTTCCCGAAATTCAGAATAAAATTGTTCAAATTTATTTCAAAAACAATATTTGAGGCGCTACTCATTTTTAAAACATTAATCAATACTAAACACATTCTCAATTTTCAGCAATAATCAATACTCATAATCCATACTAAAATTCCAATAATGCAAATCCAATAATAATCCTAGGGAAATAATCTCCATCAATAATTCAATAATCCAGTACTAATGAAAAACAATAATCAATAATGCAATAATATCCAAGTCCAGTTTTCAAGGCGGAAGCATTTATTAAATTTTAAAGACCAACACTCGCATCCCTTCCGCCGTGCCGCATAAACTAACCTGCATCCATGAAGAGCATGTGGGGATGAGCACAATAGGAAAGTCGAGGTGCTCACCGCTATGCAATAATTAATCTCAATAATTATGAAAATAATTTAAGTATGGTAGTAAAATGTATACGAATCAATAACCGTCCCATCTCCTATCAATAATCAATAATGGTCTCATGTGCACACCTATAACAATAGACTACTGCCGAGCTATATACCGAACGCCTTCCTCGAAGGCCTTACAACGAGTGCCCGGCCAGCAGGAGCAATAATCCACCCCGAATGCCAAAACTTTCGCCTTGGCCTTACATACGAGGATCACCAGCCAAGGCTCACGCCCTGACTGCCAACAATAATAAAGGAGACTACCCGAAGGTACGTTCTATAGCTACGGGGATAACCGTTCACATCGAAGGCTACATGGTTCACATGCATACTTTGATCATACAACAGCAAAAACCAATTAATTAAGGCAAAGCAAATTTTACAATTACAACCCACCTGAAAATTTCGGTAGAAAGGCACACAAAATCAAGTACGTAAGATGAGGCTCGACTCCTCAAACACCTACATTTAAGTGAGATCATTTTTCAATAAACTATCACTGTTCGAATTTATCATAAAACCCACACATAATAAAAATTAAGACTTAAGGGTTTTAATCAGATTTTTCGTGGATTTGGAACTCTCTCATTTTTGCAAAATAGAACTCGAAAAATTAATTTGGAGTCTCGGGACTTAAAAATATTTTTTCAAATTTTTCTACTTTGAAAATAATTTTTAGAATTGAAATCGGTATTAAATAGGGGCTCTGAAACTCAAAATAAACTTAAAAACAACGAACTGGACAAGCTGTCCGAATTTTGGGCTTTGACACGCAATATTGGGCCACCAAGAAATGAACGCGCATACATTGGGCCGCAGAGGGTCTGCTTAATCGCTGGAAAACGCGCGGGCCTCCAGAATTTCACGCGGGCCGACTAATGCAGCCAGAACACGGGTCGTGCGCGGGCCTAATACGAGCTTAACAGCCCGCGCACCTGCTGCTGGGAAACAAAATATTTTGGCTGGTTTTAAAGAATTTGGTTGCGGGGATTGGCCAGGAAATAAATTACAATGGATGATAACTTAAACAAGTTGGGTTGAACAATGATAACCTCAATCAATTAAGCTTAAATAATAACGCACACTACAGTGTTTTAACAGCAATTTCTGATACTTGCGCGAACAAAATACCATGCAAAACAGAGGAAAAACAACTGTCTGCTTAAAATTCTTACGACAAATCTCGAGCACGACCAGAGATCGAAAGACCACAAAAATATCACGATAACAACGAATTTTTAGAGTTTCAACATTTTATAAAATCGAGTTTATTTGTTCGAAAAGAACGAAACGACAACACACGGTTCGAAGACGAACGAACAACACGACCACGGTAAAGCTCGAACGATAATACGAGACTCCGAAATCAAACGAATTACACACAGCTGCAACGAGACTCACTTATACGATAAACGAGAGTTCCGATAATCCACGTAATTTCACAAACAACACCCAATATAAGAAACGATGAATAACCCAAACAATCAACGAGAAATCGATTCGACGAACACGATGAATCAACGAATAAATACCAGCATGAATAAAATAACGTGAAAGTTCAGAAATGGATACCCGTCTTTGGGAATCTACGAGCTCGGGAGATAAGCGGACCAAATGATCGGAACTCGGACGAGCTGGTAGCAGCCTCGAAACTCCTCGAAAGCTCGGACTGAAATCGATGAACTGCTCGTGAATGGACCGCTGAGGGCTCTTCGATGGCGGGCTGTGCGGAGGTGGTCTCGCCGGAGAAGAAGATGGTCGCCGGGATTAATGGCTGCTTCACTAGAATTGCAGCTAGCGAACTTTTTCTTTTTTTTTTTAAGGGACGATGGAATAGCGAGTGAGGGATAGAGGGCACAGGGGATGAATTTATGATGAGGGAGAATGACTCTGGAACGAGTCTTATGTAGAGGAGGGCGAGAGACTAGCGAACGTGCGGAGCAACTCACCAAAAGAATCGCGAACGGATTTGAGGTACGAAGAACGAGTCGTCGACGATAAATTCTTTTATGCTAAAAAAAATCTCACGCGGAAGTGAAAGGAAAAAGGGCTTCACTTAATTCCAATTGGGCCTAGCTCAATTGGGCTAAAAGAAATAAACCATAAATGGTGTTGGAATGTCACCCAAATTGGGTCGGAACCAATTTAATCGGAGCGAAAGGAATACAAAGCGATAAGAAGAATTCCCGAGATATTCGAGCGAGTAATAAATTAATCCGGATGATACATATACATATCACGCCCAAAAATTATTTATTTAATAACCATTTAAAAATCATTAGACAATTAATATTAATAATAGTAAATTACTAATAACAACAAATAATAACAATTTGGCATTTAACATCAATAATAATAATAATAATAATAATAATAATAATAATAATAATAATAATAATAATAATAATAATAATAATAATAATAATAATATAATAATAATAATAATAATAATAATAATAAAACAATTAATAACAACAATAATCACTAATTATTTCCAAATAATTCACAATAAAACGGGGTATTACAGTCTATCCACCTTACAAAGAATTCCGTCCTCGGAATTCGAAAATAAACATCTAGAAAGCAATACAAAGGGGAACTCAAAACTCAAAGTTCAGATATCGCCTCCGTAGCTCGGCCTCCTTCTCCAAAGTCACCTTCGACTCGTCATGTCGGCTCCAAAGCACCTTCACCAAACTCACTGCCCGGTTCCTCAGCTGATGGACCTTCTGGTCCAATATGGCTACCGGTACCTCCTCGTAGTTAAGGTCTCGCTCGACCTGCAGTTCGCTGAAGACCACCACGTGATCGGGATCATGCACGTATCTCCGCAATATAGAGACGTGAAAAACGTCATGCACTCCCGACAAGCTAGGTGGTAAAGCCAGCCGATAAGACAAGTTCCCGACTCGGGCAAGGATCTCGAATGGCCCAATATAACGCGGTCTAAGCTTCCCATTCTTTCCGAAGTGAGTCACACCCTTCATGGGCGAGACCTTCAGGAAGACGTGATCTCCGACGGCATACTCGTGCTCATCCCTCTTTCGGTCGGCATAGACTTTCTGCCTCTCTTGGGCTGACCGGATATGCTTTTGGATAGCCTTAACTGTCTCCGCAGCTCTAAGAATGAACTCCGGACCCATGATATTCCTCTCTCCGATCTTATCCCAGTACAAGGGTGTTCGGACCTTACGTCCATACAAAGCCTCGAATGGGACCATCTTGATCGTGGAGTGGTAGCTATTGTTGTAAGTCATCTCGACCAAAGACAAGGCACTCTCCCAGGTTAGGCTACGGTCCAATACCACAACCCTCAATATGTCCTCCAAGTACTGGATCGTCCGCTCCGACTGGCCATCTGTCTGAGGATGAAAAGCTGTACTGAACTCCAGCTTCGTCCCCATGGCTCGGTGCAAGGTCTTCCAAAACTGGCAAGTGAACTTCGCGTCTCGATCAGACACGATCTCCACGGGAACTCCATGAAGCTTGACAATCTCATCCACGAATAACACGGCATACTGACTAGCCTTCATAGTCGTCCGGACTGGCAGAAAGTGGGCAGACTTTGTAAGGCGATCCACAATCACCCAAATAGAATCATGCCCGGTCCTCGACCTCGGCAATCCCACCAAGAAATCCATGATGATGCACTCTCACTTCCAAAAGGGAACATCAAGTGGCTGCAACTTCCCTCTCGGTTTCTGATGCTCAGCCTTCACTTGCTGACACACCAGGCACCCATTCACGAACCTCGCCACTTGTCTCTTCATACCTCGCCACCAGAATGACTTCCTCAGGTCCTGATACATTTTCGAACTACCAGGATGGACGGTGTACGGGGAAATATGGGCCTCTCTCAAAATCTCCCTTCGCAATTCCCACACCATCGGAACACAAAGTCTTCCCTCGAAGACTAAGGCCCCTTCAGATGCGACTGCGAATCCTCCAACTCTACCGGTTTTCGACAACTCCTTCATCCGGCAAAGGAAAAGATCATTCGGTTGCTCGGCGACTATCCTCTCACGAAGAGACGGTCCCACAACCAAAGAGGTCAACATACCCATGGCTGTCGAATGTGACTCCACTGCCTCTAGCTGTAGCCGCTCGAACTCTCGAAGAAGGACATCTTGCTCGGTAAAAAGACAGGACAACTGGCCATAACTCCTCCGACTAAGGGCATCGACTACCACGTTAGCTTTCCTAGGATGGTAGCTAATCGTGCAATCGTAGTCCTTGACCAGTTCCAACCACCTACGCTGCCGCATATTCAGCTCCTTCTGAGTGAAAATGTACTTTAGGCTTTTGTGGTCGATAAAAATCTTACACTTGCCTCCATAGAGGTAGTGCCGCCAAATCTTCAAGGCGTGAACGACTGCAGCTAACTCAAGATCGTGAGTGGGGTAGTTCTGCTCGTGAGGCTTCGGCTGCCTCGAAGCATAGGCTACGACCCTCCCCTGCTGCATAAGGACACATCCCAAACCCATCTTTGAAGCATCACTATAGATGGTGAACTCCAAAGTAGGGTCGGGAATGGATAGAACGGGCGCGGTAGTGAGTCTCCTCTTCAACTCCTGGAAACTCTCCTTACACTTAGGACTCCAATCAAACCTCACGGCCTTCTTTGTAAGGTTGGTTAGTGGCTGGGCTATCTTCGAGAAACCCTCGATAAACCTCCGGTAGTATTCTGCTAACCCCAGGAAACTACGAACATCAGCGGCACTTCTTGGTGTATCCCACTTGCTCACTGCCTCAATCTTGTCGGGATCCACCTCAATGCCTCGAGCTGTCACAATGTGGCCAAGGAATGCCACACGATCCAGCCAAAACTCGCATTTCGAGAACTTAGCATACAGCTTCTCGCGGCGAAGAGTCTCCAGCTCAATCCTCAGATGGTCCTTGTGCTGGTCGATGCTCCGAGAATAAACCAGGATGTCGTCGATGAACACGATAACAAATTGGTCCAGGAAGGGATGAAAGACCCTATTTATAAGGTCCATAAACACGGCCGGGGCATTGCTGAGTTCGAACGGCATGACTACGAACTCATAATGGCCATAACGGGTACGGAAGGCAGTCTTAGAAATATTCGACTCCCGGATCTTCAGCTGATGATAGCCAGAACGCAAGTCGATCTTGGAAAAGACGCTGGCTCCCCTCAACTGGTCGAAGAGATCCTCAATACGAGGAAGGGGGTACTTGTTCTTGACTCTAAGGGTATTCAACTCCCGATAGACAATGCACATGCGCATCGATCCGTCTTTCTTTTTCGAATAGGACGGGCGCTCCCCACGGCGAAACACTCGGACGAATGAAACCAAGATTGAGCAACTCCTGGATCTGGGCCTTGAGCTCTTGAAGCTCCTTCGGCGCCATACGATAAGGGGCCTTAGAAACAGGGCCGGTTCCTGGTACTAGATCAATGGTAAACTCCACTTGGCGGTCGGGCGGTCCTCCAGGCAACTCGTCAGGAAAGACATCGAGATACTCGCAGACGATAGAGACTCTCTCCAGGGACCTCTCAGAATCGTCCTCGGATACCATAGAAACCAGATAGCCTTGACAGCTACCTTTAGAAAGGTTTTTCCTAGCTTGCATAGAAGATATGACTTGAGGCACAGTCCTCGACTTCACCCCATAGAAAATAACAGGTTGATCGAAAACGGGGAAGAGACTGACTTCGCGCTCCTGGCACCGGATGTCGGCTTGATAGCGAGTGAGCCAGTCCATTCCCAAGATCACATCGAAGTCCCGCATTTCAATAATATACCAGTCGGCCTCCAAAACATGCCCACCAATACTGACTAGAAGACTGAAAATCATAGAATCAGAAATAATAATCTTTCCCGAGGCTAGACTAACCTCGAGAGGGTCACAGTTGCACACATTATCAATAGACAGGGCCTCCAAGCATCGAGAGGAGATAAAGGAATGAGTAGCTCCAGTGTCACATAACGCAAAGATAGGCACATTGGATAAGGAAATCATGCCAGACATGGTACCTGCGTTGTTGGCTGCCTCGTCATGAGCAAGGGTATAGACTCGGGCTTGACCCCCAGCCCTCTGCTGGTGTGGTGGGGGCTGTCTGTGCTGCTGCTGCTGCTGGTAAGGTGGAGGAGGAAGCTGTTGCTGATGATGGGGCTGCTGATAAGGCTGCTGCCTCGGGGGTTCGGGGCAGTGGCTGAAGAAGTGACCGGGCTTCATGCAGTTGAAGCAGACCTTCTGGACATAACGACAATCTCCGGGGTGATAGCGGCCACATTTAGGGCATCTCGGGTTCTGACCCTGAGCGACTGGTGGAACATCACGGCGGTCTGGTGCTCCACGCTTTCCCTTCCGGTTATCCCGGCGGGAATCAAACTTTCTCTTGCCCGAACTAGAGCCGGGCGGCGCAGAAGAAATAGGCTGAACCAGCTGAGCAGAAGGTATGGTGGCATCGAGAGTCTGATAACTCTCAAGTTGGGTGGCTCGAATGACAGTCTCATCAAAGGAAAGATTTCCTTGGCTGGCAACATGCATACGGAGAGTTCGATTTAGTCCATCTCGGAACTTGTGGGCCTTCTTCAGGTCGGTGTCCACCATATGTGGAGCAAAGGCGCTCATACGGGTGAACTCCCGCTCGTACTCCTCAACGGTAC